CCTAGTGATTCTGTGATTCTGTGATATCTAAGGTGCGTTACTTTGGAATTTAGGCCTCTCTGCTCCTATACAAACTGTAAACTGTCAATTTTCCCTCCATAAAGAGCATGTCTAATTTTCCTCACAGACATACAGCCAAGGGATTGAATTAGCCTGCCAAAGAGAACGAGAGTTCGTGAAGCACTCGGTAGAATGCACGTGGAACCTAGCAGAAGCCCAGCAAAAACTTGGTAGCTTAGCACTGCATAATTCAGAATCCCATGATCAGGAATCTGCTCAAGCAAAGACTGAAGCTGCAGAGTTGAGATGGAGAGAGGAAGAGTGGAGAAGAAAAGAAGAAGCACTAAACCAGAGGGAAAGACAGAATCTATGGAATACAGATCTTGTTAGTAAGGAGGTATTTAATAAGGTATGACCCATATCAGTGTGCATAAAAACAAGTGTTAGCCTCTTTTTTTATTCCACTTCTACTAGTATTGTCTTTGTGTCCAGTACAGCACAAATCCACAGTATGTGTTAAATGTTTGGTGTTTGGTTTTTTTCTTACTTTGCCTCATGAAAGGGAGCAAGCTGCACACATACTACAAATTTGGATGACATTTCTCTACCAGAAGTGCAGATCAGAACTTCTGTGGTTCATCTAGGTATTAGATATGAGCCGGCAGTGTGCGCTCGCAGCCCAGAAGGTCAGTCATGTCCTGGGACTCATAAAAAGCAGTGTGGCCAGCAGGTCAAGGGAGGTGATTCTGCCCCTCTGCTCTGGTGAGACCCCACCTGGAGCACCGAGTCCAGCTCTGGAACCCTCAGTATAGGAAGACATGGGCCTGTTGAAGAGGGTCCAGAGGAGGGCCACAAAAATGATCAGAGGGGTGGAACACCTCTCCTATGAAGAAAGGCTGAGAGAGCTGAGAGAGCTGGGGTTGTTCAGCCTGGAGAAAAGGCGGCTCCGGGGAGACCTTATTGCAGCCTTTTAGCACCTAAAGGGGGCTTGTAAGAAAGATGGGGACAGACTTTCAGCAGGGCCTGTAGCGAGAGGCAGGGCCTGTAGCGAGAGGACAAGGGGTAATGATTTTAAACTAAAAGAGGGGAGATTTTTACTAGATACAAGGAAGAAATATTTCACAGTGGGGATGGTGAGACACTAGAACAGGTTGCCCAGAGAAGCTGAGGATGCCCCATCCCTGGAAGCAATAAAGGTCAGGTTAGATGGAGCTTTGAGCAACTTGATGTAGTGGAAAATGTCCCTGCTTATGGCAGGGAGGGGTGGAATTACATAATCTTTAAATGTCCCTTCCAACCCAAACCACTCTATGACTGTAGGTAGTGCAGGTGTTGCCAAATGTGCTGAACATGGAGAGTGTTCTTCTCTACCATGCCAAATTCTTAAAATGCGAAACTGTTTGTTTGCCTCTAATATTGACTACTGTAATACAGATTATTTAGCACAGCCTTTTTTTATAGTGGAATTTCAGCTTTTATTTTATAATTTAATTTCAACAGCTACCACATCTCCTAATTTCACTTATTTAGCTGCATCCAGGCGGGAATGTACATGATTCTCATTGTTCACAGATCAGTGAGTTCCTGCGTGAGGACAGACGTTTCTCAGAGTTCTTTGGTCAGTATACTATAATGAGGCTTCTAAACTCCATTATTAGAAAATGCACTTTTTTAAAGAAAGTCTTCTAAATTATATGACAAGACTCTAAAATTAGAACATAGCCTTTTAAATAGTAACATATTAAAATATAATATTCCTATATATCACAAAAAGGTGTATCTGGAGTTTCTGTGATAGTACAATTTTTCTTTTCCTCAGAGTTTTATTAATCAAAAAAGAAAAGAAATAGAAGATGAAGATGTGTCTGAACCACTTATGCAAAAACATGAACAGAAGATTAGACACTTTGGTGAGTGTGCTTTTTCCACCATTTTGCAGTTCAAACTTCTACAGAATTTGTGTAGGTTTGCTCCCTGTTGTACAGAATAAATGGTAACAAATGAAAGACCTGGCTAACAAGACTGTTCAGCTTTGTTTTATCAGGACAGATAATAATTTCAAAGTGAAATAAGGTGTAAACTGTAGAAGCTTTTTAGTTCCTGTGATGAATAAGAACTTCAATGGAAAAAAACATAATACTCAAATGAGTTTAAACCCTGAAAACTATAGAGTTCTAGCAGCTATTTCTTCTGTTCAGTGGGAAAAGGCAGGGACATTCATAGAAATGTAAGTGGTGTATATAAAAGTGTGTGGCATTGTCTATAGTTGTCTCCTTTTAATAAATATTCTTCTGGTGGCTCTTAAGCCACAAAGGTAATGACTGATTAAGGGGAAATGTCTGTAAACGCTTACTGAGAGTATCTGTGCATGGAATTGTGCGTTTCTTAAAATTATATTTAATTATCCACTAGGTGTCACTTTAGCTCTGTCATAATTGTTGAACGCAATTAAGCACAAAGCTGATCTTGTAAAGTAATCTGAAGTTTTAATGGTTCTCTGAAGTGCCTTACATTCTTCATTACAGGCTGGTTTCAGACTATGATAGAGTATAGCCATATTTGGAATTCCAGAACAATCAAGAACAGGACAGAATTGGCAAAATTAATTTCTTTGTACAAACTTGTTTTTACGAAGCTATTTGGCTTCTAAGGATCTTAAACTGTTTTAAAGAAAGAGTTTCTAGCCCTGTTAGCCTTAGCAAGCCTTGCAAATACCAAGCTGAGGCACAACACTGCCAGAGTATGCAAATAGCAGTGACAGGCACAGGTTCTTGCAAATAACTGCTAAGTGTCATGATAGTGGAATCAGAAGATGTCTCCCCTGCTGTGCATTTCAACATTAAAAAAGAGGCTTTCTTGCAGGCTTCGTAGCTAAGCGTTGGGCAAAATTACTTCGTTGTCTAAATTCAGAGTAAGCTGTTACTTTATTACAGAAGGTCATCAGTTTTTCTCTTGCCTTCTAAATTCAAAGCCATTTTGTTATTTTAATTCAGAATACGTAAGTCCATTGTAAAAAGGGACAATACATTAATGCTTATTCAAGTCTCTCATTCTGTGCTAGCTGCTGCCAAGGGGAAGTGTGGATTCATTAGCCATACTGCATGAGTCCCATTTCTGGATCTTGCTCTGGCTTCCAAGCAATAAAGGACTTAAGCATGATAGCTGTCTTGCAAACAGCCATGTTTTCTCTTTAGGCATTTGTCTGCTAGAATTAAGATTAGCTTAGGTCATTACCGCTGAATTATCTTTAGCCCAGTTATAATTATACACTGATAGACGGGTAAAGCTGTACATCTGGTACGTCTTGCCAGTAATGACTTGACTGACAGTGATACATGAAGGGCAATTTTAAGAAGTGGTCTGAGTATTGAGTTCCAGTTTTTAAACTTGGCTCTTTACGTGAAGGTAGCTTCATGCTATCACAATTCAATCTTCTAGTTAAGTTTCCAATACTAATGTGGCTTTGCTTTTTGAGATCAGGCTGTTCCTGTAATTAAATTCAAATTTCCTCAAAACCTAGCAAATCATGTGTTAGAATCACTTTCATTTTTGACAGATTACACATTCTTTTCTTTGCATTCCTATTTGCAAACATTTAGAGGATTTGTGTTTGTTAGAATCACTGAATGTAAATCTCTATCCATAAACTTTCTAAACTATTTGATGATGTAACTAATAGGTACCTACACCGTGTTGTTAGTGTGTATGAGAACTGATTAAAAATAACTTCTCAATGATGCTAGAGAGGCATTAAAATACAGGAAATTGTGGCTGTTAATACCTTCAAAGTCTGATTATACCTTCTGGTAATACTCTTTCAGCATTGGTTAGATGTATAAATCCCAAATTTGGCTGCATGCTGTCATTCTGAGGTTAGGGAATTGCAGAGGTATTATATATACTGGGTATCAATGCAAGTAACTTCCTTGCTGCATTAAATCATTTATCCATTTAGAATATCTTAACTATGTTTCTCTTACTAGGTATGCTGAGCAGATGGGATGATAGTCAAAGATTTTTGTCTGATCACCCGTATCTTGTATGTGAAGAAACATCTAGATATCTCATGTTGTGGTGTTTTCATCTAGAAGCTGAACAGGTATGAAGATGATGTCTAAATTGTTTGAAAGCATAGTTTCCCACTTGCAGTATAAGAAAGCTGACCGACTTGTTTAGCTGTTTAACTTTTTGTCCCACCCTCTCTCTACTTTATTAAAGAAAAATTTTATAGTGCATTGTCATATATATATCTAGTTATAACTAATTATCGGTCTGCTTGCTTCTGTGAGCATCAGTTCTCATCTGTTTAGGAACTAGAACAAAAGGAAACTGTGCTGAATTTTATAAATATAATCACAGGAAATATCTTTAAATCGTAACTTTTTTTCAGAAAAGAGCTCTGATGGAGCAAGTAGCACACCAAGCAGTTGTGATGCAGTTTATTATAGAAATTGCCCGAAGCTGCAATGTGGATCCAAGAGGGTGTTTTCGTCTCTTTTTCCAAAAAGCCAAAGTAAGTCAACTTGGGTAATGATGGGAGAAACTCTTGATGCTGTTCAAGGGACCAGTGTTTTAGAGAAGGTTTCTTCCTAACCATAAAAGGCTAAATATTGTATTGACTGACTTAAGCTTATGGGAAAGCGTTTTCTTAGCAATTCTTTTCTAGACAGAATATTTTGGTGTAATTCTGATCTTGAAAATTAAAGTTTAGTGGATTTTGCTAATGCCAGAGGGAAGGCAAGATACAGCAGGGGGACAACCAGGTTGTTACAAACAAGTAATAACTAAGTAACAACAGCAAACATAGACCAGTTTGAGGACTGATTTTGGCTGATTACACCTGTGTTTTCACAGTGTACCTGTGTATTATCACAACTTCCCATTTCATCTGGGGTTCACAGTGGGGCCCAAAATACTGTCCCTTTCTCATTACTGAAATAGAGCAATCCAGAGTTATGCAGGAGAAATGCAGGAAGACTGAAACTGTAGTAGACTGTATTCAGTTACTGAAGACTGATGGATCTCAATACGGCCTAAAGAAGTTCAAAGTGCAAGTCAACTTTTGATCAGAGTGCTCCAACAAGCACCTGTTGTTCTAAGGGTACTGGCTTCTGAGATGGAATAAAGGAAAGCCTAAAGTTAGATTTATTTTTACATGTCCTTAGATAAATCAATTACTTTGCTTCTACATATAAATAATACAGATTGTCTTAAAAAGAAATCTACCTGAAATTGCATTTTAAATTGACTAACATTATTCTTAAGTTATTCACACTTGTTATTTCCCAAAGGGTATAACATGCATTACTGTGTGGGGGTTTTTCAGCACTGGGTATGCTTACAACTCAAAAGTAAATGTGGCTGAAGTGCAAATATTTCATTTTTCTGTTTGCAGACAGGAGAAGGCTATTTTGAGGCTTTTAAAAATGAACTTGAAGCATTCAAGACAAGAGTGAGAATCTGGTCACAATCACATGGCTTTCAAACTATGTTACTACATGATCTCTGTGTCAATCCTGGTCTTGTAGGAGAGCTGACACCTTTTTCACAGGTAGGTATATTATTTCTAGAAATTAATTTAACTAAAGTAGGATTAGCTCCTGCCTCGAGAAACTGTAACTTCCTGAAATATAAAGAGGATCATTTTTTATAGAACTGCTAGTGCTCTGGATATAATGTGCAGTATTAACAATATGCAAGGCATACATGTGCTTTCTTTTTACTTGCTGGAATTAAGAAAGTGTTAGCATAAGGTCAGAAGCATATGTTAGTTCAGTGCCCTTACGTTTTCATGTTTCAAGCAAACACTGCATCATAAAACTAATCAGATGCTAGAATTGTATTCGCAGTCTTTACCACAAGCAGTGAAATGAGCTTTCAGTGTAAAATAACTAATCCTATTCATGGGATCATTCAGGTAAGTCAAGCCTAAGGAAAGTCTCCTGTTGTGATAAAAGGAAACTGAGGGTACTTAAGTCTTTCGTTACAGTACTAGTGATGGCCACTTTCATGACTGAAGAAGCAACTTAAAAGATTGTAAAAAATTAGGTATTAGGGAAGGAGTCATAATTGAAACTACATATTTGAAATAATTTGATAAAAGTACCTCTCAGGTGAAATCCAACAGCTGAATTTTAAGTAAATGTGTAGTCAAGTGCTAGAAATACTGAGACCAAATACAACCTATGCCAGCAAATTTAAAGAATTCTTGACACAGTGAGATAATACTGGTTGATTAATTTTTCAAAGATTATTTCCTTACTATTGCAAATTTGTCTTATCTCTCTCTCTCTCTCCCCGCCCCCGCCTTTTAATCTCTTGCAGAACACAGGTGATCTACAAGGTTCCATAAACACAGATGTCTGCAGTTTAAGCTCTGTGATACAAAGAGATGAAGAAGAATCCAAAATGATGGACACAGTATAGTACTCTTAAGATTCAAGGCCAAGTACTCTTGTTTCTTAGCTTTTTTTTTTTTTTTTTTTTTCCTCCAAAGAAACAAACATGGCTATTTTCTTGATACTTATTTTTCTGGGTACTGCACTTTATTTTTAGTGTCAGACTTTTGTTGTTGTTGTTGTTTGGTTTTAGGGGGGGAAGGGATTTTGAAGGGTGGGTAATTCAGAAAAACTTGTAATGTTGTTTGAAAATGTGCTGCTAGGTTTTTGGTTGTCCTTGAAGAGCAGGGTTCTCATATTGCCGAATGTGAAACTGGATGTGTTTTCTGCTACTAACCTTGCCTTTTATGATTTTAGAAATTAAAAGTATGAAAAAATAAAATCTGCACAAATACAATGTTTACAAGAAGCAGTAGATTCTTGGTAGAATCTGCTATTGTCTTACTACAGATGAGGACATGTTTTACTCTAGAATATTGGAGATCATAACTGTATTCATGCTACCTTGCTGACATTATAAGCTCTCAAATTTGGTTATCACTAATAGCAATAAATCAATATCTGGTATCAGTATTTCAGATCTGAATGGATTATATTAAAACACTGGCTTTCTACCTCTACTAAGGGGATTTAAATGTTACATTGTGCTTTCATTAAACATTACTTGGTTTTATCCTAAAACGTAAGCAGTGCTTGTCTATATATGAGTGCTGGGCTGTATGATTTTTGAGTCTGACTCTCTTCTTGTTCATAAAGATAACTTCAGATTTATTTTTTGGTTAAACAAAGTCTCATTACAGGGAGAGTATTTGATGGAGGGAACTCGAGGTACAAGGACTAGGCAAAAAGCTCTGTCGCAGTTCACATAGGGTAAGGTGTCATGCAAGGTACTTCACATGCTACTAAACTAACTTGGGTTTCTGATATTGCCAACTCAAACAATTAAAGCAGAAAATCATTAAAAGCTTCCTGTTTGAGGAGCTGGATATCCAAATACTATTTCTAGACAAGGCCTTCCACAGAATCTCTGCAATCCAAAATTCTACTGTGCTTTTCTAACTTGCTGCTATGTCAGCAGTTCTATCTATAAAAATAGACTGGAAGACTCCAGTGAAGACAGCTCATACTTTAAATAATGGTATCAGTACACACTTTCGGTCCTTTACTGTATTGTTCTGATTTTATATAAGGTCTGGAAGGCATCTAGATTTCAATAGCGTGATGAACACAGTCTACCTGCAGGTGCTAATTCAGGCAAAAGCTGTGCCGAGATCCAGTAATTTTCAGCTTTGTCTATAGCACAAGTAGAGAAAAGTCTTAAGTCTGCAGTGTATTCCAGTGTGAGTATTAGTACAAATGCAGTAGCAAAAGTAGGAGCTCCAAATCCACTGATAGAATTAGCTGTTTGTGTGCCTTGTGTTCTCTAGCACTTATTTTGCAGACACTGAAGGTAAAGGAGCAAGCAGCAGCTCTGTCCTCAGTGCAGATTAGAAATAATCAGCTTCAGTAGTAAAGTAAAATTTTATTTTAAGTTTGACAGATAATCAAAAGAGGATAAGTAGACACTGCCTTCTCTTTAATAATTAGTTAATTATTAAGGAAAATTAAGGGACACGAATAATTTCAGGGGTTTTTTTAACTGAATGTTTTGTACAAGGGTAGTACGGGCAGTGTAGCACAGTGACTTGCAATTGCTACCATTAGGAGTAGAGCCACATTGATCTAACAACTTGTGATATACTGAAAGTTATTTTTAAAGTTTCTAAGGGGCTAAAAGTGGATAGTGTAGAAATGTCAAACCATGAGGAGATCCCCTTCCAGCTAACTAAAACTTATGTAGGCTGGCAAAAAAACAAGCATAGCTGCTTTTTATTGAAATCAAAATGAGAACTAAGCAGCACATCAGGGTTTCTCATTGTAATGTGGTAGCTACTGTTTTTTAACCATGACTTTTTTAAGGAAGTGCATCTCTAAACTCACTCAGTTTACAGCCTCCATATAGACATTTCTGAAGATGAAAGTACAAGTGGTCAACCTTTTGGCAAGCTTGCTTTAAAATGTAAGGAAAGCTGCTTGCAGTGATAGCTGCTGCCCATATTGTTCATTTATAGTAATGCTATAATAATAGTAATGCTCCTGCAAAAGGAGACTGGGACCTGCATTAGTAGGACACAGCTACTTCAGATATTGCCTAAAGTTGTTTGTTCCTCAGGTTTTGCTAACTCTTTTTGAAACTCTTAATCTGGTGAACATAAAAAAAAAAAGCTAGGAGACTTCACGGAAAAATAGCAATGTCTGCATTACCTAGGCTGTTTGTAACTTGTTATCTAGTGAATAAATAAATAAATACAAGAGCTGGTCAGAGACATGAATTCGTAGTACGAACTCATGAAAACCAGCCCAATCACTACAATAAAGCTTGCTACAGTTAATATGACCAAGTTAGTAATTTGATGCCAGTGCCAGGATTTCCAGTAGTCAATGAGCAGTTATTTTTCAAAGACGGTAGAAAAGACACACTATTCAAGATCATCTAGCTACATGCTTACCACATTACAACTAATCTGTTTGGTATCTGCTGTCTTTGTGCTAATGAAGTCTTACAAAGCTGCATACAGAGGCTTTACCAAATGTGTTACACATCATTGAAAGTCCGTTTCTCATGCCTGCAAAAGATAGCTGCTCTGAGAGCAGAAATATAAACATAATAATAAGGCAAATCACCCAAGCAAGTGTTAAGGGTAATTTAAACCCAGCAAAATCAAATAACATCTGTGCTAGCAAAGCTAAAAGAATGTGACTGTCTTCCATGAGATCAACCCATATGTATGCCAGTTCTGGTCTGAAATGGCTTTTTGCAGAACGGTAGTCATGGTTCCCCACAGCTTCTGGCTGGCCCGAACTAATCACACATTCAAGAAACATGCTTTCATAACCTTATCATTGCATCACACTGCATTTCATGAGTGAGTAAATCAATCAATGTGCTTTGTTATTAAGCTGTATTCTGAAATGTGTTTCCTTCACCAGTCAGTGTTTGCAAACATTAATGTTTTCTGAATAAGAGACACAAAAGTAGCTGCTTTTGTTAAAATCAGTTACTATATTATAAAAATTAGGTATATTTAATATTAAAAAATACAGCATTAAAGTGAGAACCACAGGCAACAAATTTTTATCATAATGTAAGTTAAGGACAACATGAGACTTCAATTACTGATCAGTCTGGTAGACTACTTAGAGAAATCCTTGGTTGCTGAATCTCATGTAATCAAGTGTGAGCTATGACAGATGAGCAGAAGTTAGACCTATTTTCACCTGGGAGTGGCAGCATCTTTCTGGCTCACATCTGGCAACTTGGTTTGGAGGAAAGCATGGATATGTGGCCAGATCTTATTGGTTTCTGTTCCAGAGAAGGATTTCAGTAACCCTTTTTCCCTAAGGAAGAAAAAGAATAAAGCATTGTAGAAGTCAAATTGTCTAATTGTTCCAGGATCTCCACCTCACTTAAGACTGACCCGGCAAGAGCGTGCAGGTATGCATGTGGTTTAACACCAAGAACAGACATAACATTGGGAATGCAGGCTGGACATGTATTACTCTGTTCCTCAAACAGTGAGCTATTGGCCACATCAGTTCATAAAACTGACAGCTGTCCACAGAGTACTTAATAATAAACTATGAAGGGTAAAAATAAGAAGCAGCAATACAGTCATATAGCATATGCTATACAGCAGTCATCCAAAGAATCGTGACTAACCCAGGTATTGTAAAATTGCACTTAAGAATGAAAGAAGGTGTACCAGAACAAGCAAGTGAACGAGGCACAATCAAGTTATTCTGAAGTAGTTCTAGCAGCTAGTCTTATTGATAAAGTATGTTGTTATCAGTAAGAATAATAGCTTAGGCCTATGTCTTACTGTGGTACTTTGAGTCATTTTCACTTCAGAAAGCTAACAAAGTCAGAAAAATCATTGTCAATCCAGAAAAACTCTTTCTTTAAAACTTAACCACCCCAAAGATGAAGCTTCTGGTCTTCTGCTCAACAGTTTTGGTAGACCATAGTGAAGGGTAGCAGATATGGAGACAGAGGAAGGGCAGTCACTTCAGGATGTTGTCAGAGAGTCTGATTTGTCTAGGCAAGATGAGACTACATGGTGACCTACTATTATCTATATATTAGCAATGTGATATTTTCAGCTTTACATGAAGACAAACTTTACAGATAATTTTGGCTCTTAAAAGAACTAACCAC